AATTACGCCCATATACACACATTCCTATTTACAGGCAGAGTTAGATGAAACACTTGCACTTTTTTCTCTCCAACTAATACGCACCTGATGGCCGGAACTCTCGAGTATTACCTCCTCTTTGACTACGTCGCGGGCTTCATCACTTAACACCGCCAAATCTTTAACATCGCGTATTCTACCCAAATGCATTTCCGTTGTGTCCTGTTCCATGTCTTCAGAATCTGCAAATCCTGACTGCTCTTCTACCTACAACGCACATACACTCACACAAAATCACTGTATACGGAGTTTTTGGTGTATTTCAACTCTGCTGCTGTGTATTTTAGGCGCTCGTCCTAGCTGTTATTTTCTTTTCTATGTTTTCAATTAGCGATATCTGAACCTCACTTATTATCAAAATCAACAAAAATTGTTTTTCATATGGATTTCCGTCTTTTTGTAAACAACAAATCACATTTTGCTTATAAATAATTCTTTTTTTATAGAAAAATATTAACAGGAGATGTATGACATTTGTGATAACAACTTTCAATTAACACATTAAAAGTTCTGTTTGTTTTCTCTAAAATGTCAAAATTCCATCGCAAAAAAGCTCTTCCCTCATATTTGTAACGTGTTTGTGCATGAACGAAACAAAAACAAACTCTCTAATACTATAACGGATTTTAATAAAACTGAAAAAAAAAGTAATTATTGTTATTCTAAGAAATTGTTGAAAATGAATAACACTAAATAGAATTTGAAAAAATGAGGATTTTTATTTTAAGTTAAATGCAACCCTGAAGTGTGTTTGCCATTTCTGATGAAATTTTCTACTAAAAAATGTTTGCAATCAGATTATATAGTCAATAGTAAAACAAAAATAAGATAAATGTATATGATCAAGTAGGCATTTTTTTATTAATCTGTCAAATAGATTTATTTAGTTTATGTACTTAAGCAATCAGAGAGAAATGATAACAGAACTTTTACTCTAAAATTAAGCTAATGTCAGACGAATTGCTTCAGTTTATATGTTGCCAATGTTACCATGTCACCACGCTCATTTGTTTTGAACAGCTGTTTTACATTGTATGTATTTTGTTGCTGTAAAAATAGTATAATGGGTAATTGTTATTTAAAAGTAGAACTGTGTACGGCTGTTGCTGTAAAAGTACTACCTTGTATGGTTGTTGCTGCATTTTGCGCAGATATTTATTTGTTTACATTCCATTATGACAATGTCTGTTATTTCTCATTATTTCTATTTTGCAAGATTAAACAAAACGGTAATCGTACTTGGCCGAGGGCCTGTTTACCAGAGGGTTTACTGCGGAGTGTTTATTAGATTCCCTATGAAGTCTACCAGCTACAAAGGCAGATATCTAGCGACCGGCCATCTGAAGCTGTTATAAGTACATAAGATAAGTTAGCAAAGGCAAACGATACGTAAAAATTTGTTTAAAATTTCTCAGTTGTATTTGATTTGGACAAAATAGCTTCAATTAAAATTATTTTGTTTGCTTCTCGCTTAAGTGCAGTAGACAATGCGCGACGTGATATGCTACATTTTTTTTCAGAAACACTTTAAAACATTACTAACTCTTAGATAATTAGATGCGAATTAGCAAAAAGATGAATAAAAAAACTAATAAGTGTGAACGTGTAAACTAAAATTTATGTAAATTTGCACATTATCATGTCTTGTTATACGAAATTTTACAGCGCTGTATATTCTAATGTGTAAAGATGATGTTGCGTTACTGAGTTTAAATCTGTTTGCCTTCCTAAGGCGTAGAATTTTTAAAGGAGACAAATATATCAACCAAATTGCATTAAAAGTACACATTTTTATGGAATAATTATAACCTTTTGTATTATATTTTTTTTGTCAGTAACTGTAAAGCGTGGAAGCAAAAATTTAACATTAACTTTTGAAATTGTAGGTAATAATATATCTTACGGGCTACAAAGTAGTAAAGATTCTTTTTCTCGATTTGCTAACGGAAAATAAATTTAAGAACAGTCGACTCTTTTTGTTCTAAACTATACTTTGCTTAATCAGAATTACATAAAAATAGTGATTATTTTGTAACCAAATTTAAGTGAGAATTTTAGTTTTCGGAGACTAGTCCCAAGTACGCAGGAATGAACTTATTCCTTTATAGAATTATCGTATGGAACTCTATCTGCAGTTGGTTAAGCATAAATATTTATTGTGTCGCCTATATGAAAAACTATATCAGTTCAATACAAAGTTTTTTGAAAAGATAGGAAATTACTATTTAGCGTAATTTTGGTTCCATATGTGTCCATTTAATAATACAAATGTAATGCTTACAGGATATATACGGCTTTATCGAAATATTTCCATTTAAAATGGATTTAACATCAAAGTAATGTTCCTTTCTACATATCTTAACAAACGATTGCTTAGAAATGGGAAACACTCCACCGAGAGATAACGGGAGTAATATTAACATCCTGTGGGTACGCATCTACAAATATTTGTTACATTATATAAAGCAAATATATTTTTGGTTAGTATAGAATTCTAAGTATATTTACCAATGGCCCTGTGGCCATTTGTAAAACTGTAAAACAACAAATCAATTATTTCAGCCCGATATTTAAAAAAAACTTTTACTTTACTAATTTTTTTTCTTTTTCTTCACAATTCGCAAATGTAGTTTCGAGCACATTTTTTTTTGTTAATTTTAAATTTTTGAATTAATTCATTTTCTAAGAGATGTTTAGAGTTTTCTGTTGCGTCGGTTTTTTTTTCAAACGCAATTCGAAAAGAGAGATCTGTGGTAATTTTGTTTCGTTTATGCTCAATACTTATGCAACTTTGTTTTCAGCAACAGCAATGCTATTGTCGCCAAATTTGACGTAATTGAGAGAACGCCTTCGGCGATAATTGCCGGAAAACTTGCGAACGTGATTAGATTCTCTTAGCGATAACCGTCTACTTCATTGTCGCCTGCTTACATGAGTACATCCCCCTCTTCCCGACCCAATGCACATTCAGCAAAATAAAGCCCACTTTTAGACCAAATCTTGTATTTAGAAGTCTATTCTGCTGTCTTTAGTCTGATCTATTACAGAAGTTGTCACTTGTAGAAGAAAAAAATACGTCAAAATTTATTAGATCTCCTATCTTAGTGAACTCTTATTTGTGTTAATCTATACAAACCATGGAATGCGCAATTCAGGCTTTTGGGCATTTCTACTTTTATAGTTTGAACGTTATTTTTCTTCTTTGGCTTAGAACATTAAATATGTACTCTACTCGTACGTTTCTTTCCTAAAAATAATTTGTAAACCAACTTTTACGTGAAAAATAAGGAACGGTAATAATATAAGTAGGCGACTATGAAGTTGCGACAACTACCTGCAAAAATCTAATCATGTAAGCAAATTTGCTGATGATTGTCGCCAAAGTTACGTCATTTCTCTGTTACGTCAAATTTGGCGACAATGAACTTCTACTATCGCCAAGAGCAAATTTCCATTAGTATTGAGTATAAACCAAGAAAACTTACCACAATCTATCTTTTAGAGTTGCTTTTGCAGAACCACAGCTGTAAACGAAAAATATAAATAGCTGTTAGAAAATGATTTATTAATTCAAAGACTTAAAAAAATTATTGTGCCTGAAATTAAATTCATGAATTGTGAAGAAAACGATAAAAAAAAAGTTTGTCAAAAGTGCAATTTTTTTTTTTTTTAATATCGAGCTAAATTGAGGACTGTTAACTGTTCGTAATTTTCATTAATCCAAAAGGAAAACACAACCTAACCGTAATGATAGTAAGCAATCTGACAATTTTTGTATTTGCAACTTTTTTTATTTCCATAAAACTAAATATTCCTTCTTGATTTGCGACCATGAAATGAAAATCATAGCAGTCAACTTTAAATTTCTCGGAGCTTTCCTTGATTCGCATGTGCGAAGTTAGCCCAGTGAAAAAGCTTATCTAGAAAACCATTGAACTCTGGGCATGATAGCAATATTTGTCTGTGTGATAAAAAAAAATGAAAGCGACAAAAACTACATTTTTCTAATTTTTGTCAGGTGATAGTTCGGCGAATCTCCTAAAAAAAATACATGGAAATCCATTGCAGGAGGAACAATGTAGAAAGATGCATTGGTATGTATAAAGGTTAGTATTACAGTATTTAGTATTTCGAAAATCTAACTACAGTTTTTAAACATCTGTATAGGCCGTTGAGCTATTTTGCGGGAAGAGCGGGAGAGCTGCTACTGCTCGAAGAAACTCGGAAGCGTCGCAAACGTTTGTGCAGCGCTGCACAACACTTGCGTCCACTACAAAGTGGAAGGAAATCATTTGAATACTCCAGCACTTGCAGCCTAAGAAGATATTGGTGGTGATATTTGTGCGGAGCTACCTCAAGTGAGGCAGTTGGATGAGGAAGTTATAGGATTGCTGGCACAAAAATTTAATAAATATTGAAGGTATTACCACCTATATTGATTGCAAAACTCTTGTTAAATGCTGTTTGTAAATGTAAATTTCTTATAAATGGATCATGATAATATCAACATCCAAGTTCGTTTATCATTTCATGACTCAATGTAAATTCTACAAATTTTCATTTCATCTTGCATGCTTGTTATTGTCTACCGTCTGTAGTTTGTTTATACAAAACATATAAACGTCAATTTGGTTCTCACTCTTTAAGCGTTTTTCCGTTATTAACGCACTGTGAGCAAAAGTATTGGAAAGTTGCCACAAATGGTACATGATTCTCTTTGCGATAATCAATTATTTCCCCAAAAAAAACGGCGATAAAAACAACGATAATCGAATGGTTACATGATTACCTTCAGTATATTTCATTTTTTCATTGTTCATTGATCTGACGTTGTTTTCCCTTTTTAGAATTAAACAATAATCGTGTTACAATGATATACGATGTTCGCATCTGCTTTTTTATTTAAAATCTTTAACCCTTGAGGTGCTTGCTTTAAAAAACTTCCGATTAAATGCAGTGTTGAGTATTGTATTGCAACTTAGTAATTGGTATTTAAAGTTTATAGTAAAAAAGGAGGCAAAAATGTCAGAAATAGTTTGGTTTAATAGTTTATGAAGTATGAAGACTTAGTCATAATTAATTCACAGCAATTTTGAATTAAATTAAATGAAAGACTTATATGATGCGAAAAATTGAAATATCTTAATCAGACTGAAAAATGAAAATAAGAAACATCTGTTTTTGAAAATGAAGAAGGAATGCAATATTGCTTTTTCAAAAAACAAAAAAATAAATTGTTTTACAGAGAAAAAAAAATGCCTTTTTTTTAGCAAACCGTATCTAATGGAAGTAGCTGCGGTATCATCAGCTGATCAGTTATTCTAACTTTTTGTTCATCTGTTAAAGAACATATGTTTTCAACAAAACAAACAAGCGAACTAAAGTGCGTAAAGTGTGTTTATATTCGGAAGAAAGGTGTTTTTTTTTTAAATAAAAGATAAAGATTCGAAATGTTGGCTGACGTTGATGTCTTTGTGACGAATTATACTATAGTCGATCCGGAAATATATCAATTGTGGATCGAGGGCTTTTCATGTAAGGCACTTGTTCATTTTTTCCTTCTTGTTATTTCTTCATAAGAGTGAATTTATCACTTTTAATAGCCACAGAAGCTGTTTGCTATTTAAAACAAAAAGGATTCGGTCATTTGATGGGTGTGCATATTGATTTAATTACTTCAGATGTCTTGGATCATTATCGTACTTATTCTTTAATAGAACGATTGTTACATGCTCCCACAAAAATGCTGGAGCAATCCTGTTTTCAATTAGAACTAGAAGCCAGAGAAATGATTATAGAAAAGTACGCACTGATCTATTATAAATTAATGATAATAAATTCCACATTGTTTAGATATTATTCCATAGACGACGCAGTTGCTCGGGAAATTTTGGGAAAAAAGTTAACATCACGTTATCGCAAAGATCTGGATGAGGTATCGGAAAAAACTGGCGTTAAATTAAAATCTTGCCGTCGACAGTTTGACAATGTTAAAAGGATATTTAAAGCCGTTGAAGAGTTGCCGGGCAATTTAACAAATAATATAAAGCAGATCTTTTCCTTACCTGACGAATTGGCTAAGTAAAGTTTTCAATCAATATCTTTTATTGTGAAATATTTCGAACTTTTCATTCTTTTTGGTCATTGCTAACTTAAGAAAGTATGCTTCCATAGTATTTTTGGCTTGTTTACGTTTTGAAACTTCCAAGAGGAAACTACAATATTTAACTTTCAATGATTTATTTGCCTGTTCACAAGCTGTTATGATCTATTGGACCTATACATATCAACATTCAGGACCTGAATACTATGACACGGAAATGGATAAAGAATTTTTATTGGATTTAAGGGAATTACGTAATCTCTTGGATAAAGAAAAAGAAATTAAACAGTAAGTAGAAATCATGGATGTGTGCATAAGTTTATAGCGATGTTTTGAATGTTAAAATTATTTGGGATATCTATAGCCGCCGTAAGGCAATGGTGAATAATTAAAATCTCGATTTTATCAGATATCAGTACAGACTAATGAACTTGCGCGAGAAACATTTCGAAAGATATCTTCACATCGAACCCATATCCTTTAACCTTTTAATCTATCTTGTGAATGTCGTTCCTCACTTAACGTGCGACATCCGCTTTGAATAACAACTACGAATGAAACATGTCGAAATTTTACTGCGATGTCATGCGTAAACGTAATTTATCTAAAAATCTTTTTTGCAGCTTGGTTTGCCTACGTTTAAAGCCTGTATTACTGGAACGAGCTTTCCATGAATTGGATTTAAATTTCCGGTATGAAATAAAATCTAACTATCTAACGTTTATTGCAATTTTTACACTTTTTTCAGCTCCTATTGGCGTCCTTTAATAAGTATTGCTTGCAATTTACATCGCACTCGGGAATTACGCGATTTATTTGTGGACCTTTGTGAGAAGTTGATAGAGCCGTGGCGTCAAAATAACTGGTCTCGTGATCATGTTAATAAGTTTTTGGCAGCGATAACACAAAGTGTTTTAGATTTGGAAATTTCTAGGTAAGAGTAATTACGTACCCAGGCATATAAAATATCCTCATTTATATTAAAAATCATTTATATATATATATATATATATATACATATATGTTCTAGAGATCAAGAGACCCGCTGTTTATGGGACCGTTATATGCAAGTTATAAGTATTTGTTTAGAGAAAATGTATCACATATAAAATTACTGAACCGACTTGCAACGAAATGGAAATATTTTTGCTTTTATATCAACCCATGGAAGGTGCAATGCCATAGTTTATCATTTAAAATATTCGGATATATGTATTGGAAGTGGCTATAAATTGTACATCGTGACAATATGAATATATATCTCGCTGTTATTAACAGTTTCACGATCGTAAGAATTAATAGTGCACTAAAATTTGATATATAATTCTATTCTGTTTAAGAATAAGAACGAATTTAATATACAAAAGTCAGCGTACAGCAACAATATGAAAATGGGCAGTGATGTTTGCATGCTGTAAATGAAGAAAATTTAGAAGAAGGAAGGAAGGGCAAAAGGGTCGAATTGGCAAGTCTCCTTTGGGATCGGAGAACCGAATATGCTCTCAAGCAACAAGCAACCATTGACCACAACTAGACGAGAAAGAGTGATTATTTTGCTAAGATATGATCGCGTTTTGTAAACCAAATACCTGGAGTGTATTAATAAAACGGTGCTTTCGATTAGGAAACACATCGAGAGAGTGATTAAAAAATTAACTTTTTTTTTAACTGTAAGCATAAATTAAAAGTTTACAGCGAGAAGGTGTTATGCCCATTAACTGAGAAATGAATTGCCCTATTCTTATTAAAAGGGTATTGCGTGTAAACATATTATCCATATATTTCAATTGAAATTTTTTTCCTAAATTCTAATGTTTGTTTAAGTATCATTTTAATTGATGTCTCTTTATTAAAGTTGCAAATACATCTACATATTTCCTTTTCGTTCAGAAAGGGCCAAAAAAAAAGTGAAAAGTACCGTATTTTTCGGATTATAAGATACATCTTTTTACATAGAAAAATTGATTAAAATTTTGGGTGCGTCTTATGGTTCGAGGGTAACATCAAAATGTTTTGTCACTAAATTGTCCTTAAATTTGAGGTAGATGAGATACGATAACGATTGCTCAAACGAAAGTAATGCGAACGGTGACATTAACGAGACGAGTAATATAATATCGAGGTTGAAAATGAGCTGAATATTGCTAGTACGAGTTATGTAATATAATAATAAATACAAATTTTGATCCGAAAGTAACATTAGAATATATATATCTAAGGATTATCTTATAAATTTGAAGTGCGTCTTATAGTCCGAAAAATACGGTAAATAATTTTTCTTTATTTATTGCATATTATTTTATAATTAGTTGCAAAAGTGCTTTAGCGTTAATGTTTTAGATAAATAAGTTGCAATTTTTTTTCTATTTTTTTACTTATCCTATCGAAAAGCTGCAGTCTAGTCTATATTATTGTAAAAAGTTTTGAGTTATCAATTTCAAGGTCACATTTTCTTAATTTATTTTACTGACATTCAAAGCACTGCGGTCACCGTATTCGAAGGAAAACCATTACGCCTCTGAGAATAGCGTACTAACTGCTATTCTTCAGAATGTGGCTAGATGCAAATCTACTTCATATAATATAATTATCTTAAGGCTAATCTTAGCGAAAAAGATTAAGGGGATTAATTTAGATCTCGGTTTATGTTCTACGTATTGCGTGACATTGATTACTTAAAGTCGGGATTTTTCCGTTAAAGAACAGAAAGCTTAAAATGTTTCTTATAATATTTCAGGATGTTTTCTTCAGCTTCTCCAATTTGTTTCTTTCAGAGATTACGATCAAATAAGCAAAAAAAATTTTGAATGTCCACTGTACTCTATAAATACGTAGATGCTTCGACATTTTATTAAAAATAAAATCTGATAAAACTGCGGAGACTTGGTGTTTTGTTTATCAATAACAGTAGTAGCGCTCTTAATTAGCAGTAATTGAATTGCCGGCTCGCTCAGCTTCATTGTCTGTTAATGCAGATTTCTTAGTTTTTCAATGAGCACCCACTAACGCATACATATAAGTGCATATGTAGAAAAAAAAGAAGGAACAACAGGTATAAAATACAGCTTGTTTTCTTTTTTCATATTACAAAATTTTTAATTTAATGTTCGCCAAGTGCTTTAATAAATTTCAGTGAAAATTTTCCGGTTACTATACTCCAAATTGGCGTGTTGCTGGGCCAAGACTTACGAATTTTTGTACAAGAAAACTCGCAACGTAAAGTCCATCAAGTGATGTCTATGTTCACCGTAAACCAATCTTTCTAACGTCCACGCCTATTTTTGCATCCTAACCTAGGGAAGGATTTTTTCGAAAATTTTTTGTTTTTTAGAGCAGAAAGGTGTATCTTTTATTATGTTATGATGAAAATTAGCCCATAATAGTAACTTGATTTAACAACTAAAAACATTATAGTCGGGGAAGGCCGACCTGTAAATATCCTACACCACATTGCCTAACATAATTCCCATTCTTGTATGAAGTTGCTACATACAGGGTCAATTTTCATCACCACCATCATTAAAACTTAGACTTTTCTACTCCACAAAAAAATAGTTTTCGTGAAAATCCTTATTAGAGTAGAATCCAAAATATAGGCCGAGATGTTCCAAATTTAGTGCAGTTAATTTTTTTATGTTGAATTACTATTATGATATTATTTTCAACATAAAGCATCGAAAATCATACTTTTTGTCAATTTTCAAATGAAGACAAATTATTCTTATGATATAACTTCTTTTAATAGTAAAAAATTTTTTCGAAATTTTCTGGAGCATTTGGCAAAAATAAAATTTAGAAAACACTAATATGAAAAAAACGATAGAACGAAAACTAGGTATATTTGCTACCTATGTAGACTTTGTAAATATTCACTTAAAAATACAGAGACGTACATACTTTTTTTTTTTTTTGTAAACGTTTGATACAATCATGTCAAGAAATAGTTAATAGAATTCTTGTCCACATAAATACGAAACTGCCAGAGCAGACAACTAAATCGCCTCTTTTGAAGAGCGCTACTATTGTTATTGATAACAGAAACGTCAAGAGCCCTTGACTCTGATAAAATGTTGCATATATAGACAACATTTGATCGGATTATAAAACGATATTCTACGTTGAATAAATTAAATACAGTAAAAGTTCTTTTTTCGCGGGATATATGTGCCGCGAATACAGAAACCATGAATACGGAATGATAATTGAATACCTATTGGAATCTTTTTATTATTATGTATGTACTTATTTAAATCTGCGAATATAGGAATTTTTTTTTTTTTTTTTTTTTGTGAAAACGCGAAGAAGGAAGCGCGAATAAGGAGCTTCTACTGTATATTGAAATGGGGAGATAAACTATGCTTTAATGGGGAGCATAGATGTGCCGAAGCTCTCACCTCCCAGTGGTGATCTCCGGGCAACGGCTTCGGCCGGCTAAGAAGAATTTAAGGTTTTGGGCTACTAACTCGGCGACGAGTTTCTGAGAGATGATGGAGGGGTTGGCTGGAAGATGAGCTCTTCACTCAATAGCTGGTTACTACCTAGGAAATTGTCATGAAACTCTTTTTCTTTCCTCGCCGCTGAGGATTTAAATTTTTTTTTTTTAGACAAAGAAAAAAAATAAAAAAAAAAAAAAATCACAATAAAAGGAAACGTCGCGTCGGTTGTCTAGCGTCCGTCTGTCCACCGTAAGTCCGTCTGTCACCGTCTGGAGTCTTCCCTAACGTGCCATCATATGCACACCCCTTTTGCGTAGCCACAGCGGTGGCAGCGCACGCTTAGCCACGCATTGGGAGACACACAAAAAAAAATAAACAAACTAAACTAACTTACTGTACAGGCGTCGGTGCAGTGTCGGCCGCGGTAACCGCTACATCGGCAATCCCTGTTCCTCTTTCCAATAAGCCTTTTCCACCCTTCACAGCAAAGTTTCACAATCGTAGGATCTCCGTACAAGTAGTTGAATTAGGTGACGAACCCCCTTTTGTTCTTTGAGATGGCTCAACGGTAGTAATCAACGCACAATATACGTAAATATTTTATTCTTTTATTTCACAGCAAAGTTTTACAATCGTAGGATTTAATATGTATATAAATATTTTATTCTTTTGTTTCACAGCAAAGCTTTACAATCGTAGGATTTCTGTACAAGTAATTGAATTAGGGGACAAAGTTTTTTTTTTGTGTTGGCTAAATGGCCGTAACCAACTCACAATAGGTATATAAATATTTTCTTATCATTTATTTATTTTGTTTTTTTTTTGTTCCAAAAGCAAGCATACAAAAAGAAATTCCTTTTTTTTTCTTATTTTTCTTTCCCTTTTTTTTCTTTATGTTATACAGGGTTGGTGGGTTATATATTCTTTTACATAGTTTAGCCACCAATATGTTTCTACGAACGTCAATGATACTAAAAAAAAAATGATACATTCATGCACAAGTGCGATGCGCTTTGCTTGATACCTTCAACTGGCACAGATTATTGATTCTTCTTTTTCCTTTTGTTGGTTTTAAGTTTAGAAAGAATGGCTTTTGGTATCAAATCGTTTAAATTTTATATCCGATATATTTAATCGACCACAATTTTTGCTAATTTTATAAAAGTATCGTTTCTGCACCAATCATTTATGTACAACACGATGTGTGTACTATATGTTTAATAGTCCTTTTTTTTTTTCTTAACTCCTTTTTTTTCCCAATTTTTAAATTATTAAAAGCATATTTCTTTCTATATAATTTTGTTGTTACCACTTAAACACACAACAATAAAGGGTAAGCACCATGTGAAATGTTAACAGAACTGTCCTCTTGATTATTCTCCTTCCTCGTTTTAGGAACAAAAAAAGGCTGTTATAGAATTTTCCTTTATATTCCTCCTTTTTTTTTTTAAGTTATTAAAAGCATATTTCTTTCTATATCATTTTGTTGTTACCACTTAAACACACAACAATAAAAGGTAAGCACCATGTGAAATGTTAACAGAACTGCTGTAAATAACAAGAACCGCACTCAGTGAGAGCCTGCCTAAGACTGACTTCAACTCAGAACTATCCCCTCTGACTTCAATTTTTGAAACGCAGACAGACTTCTCCTTTTTACTTCATTTCCCTCTTCTTCTTCCTGTTGCTCTCTCTATAACGGCTTGCCGCTACTCTCACAAGAGCAAGCATAGATCCCGCAAAATCATACGATTTTGCCTATGCTTGCAAGAGCAAAAGGAAAAAAAAGGAGTACCGCAAAATCATACGATTCCGCCTGTACTTGCAAAAGCAAGCAA